GCTTTGCAGTGCAGATAAATCTTTTTCTTACTTGAGCTGTCATGGAGTTCGTTCTTTCACTCTATTTTGCCTGAAATCACTCATGTTTGTCAGGTCAAAAGGTTCCAAGGCGGTAATCTCAGGAGGCGACTTTAATTGATGCGGTGATAAGTCCATCAGCACCTATGGTACTTTCGATTTTGCTTGTGTTATTTCTTCCTCTTTTAGTAGGTTAGGTAGTTCAAGTGCAAATTGCTCGGCTAAATAGTGGCAAGAGGAATTCTCTACTTTGATGTCATTTGAGAATCTGTCACTTCAATGTTCGAACAACGAACCCTTAAATGAACGTTTGAGCACTTTTAAAGTGCGATGCCGTGTATGATTTGTTTGTACAGAAGAAAAGGAGCTCTTCGTTGCTTTAAAATATAAGTAAGTGTAAATAATCGTCTAAAGTAAGTGTGAAGTATTGCGCTACTTCTATTTTTTTTTAGGTTATCTTTCACACTCACAATCTCTTTAAAGATGTCTACGGAGTAAAACGTTCAAATACTTTGCACTGTATTGTTAGTGTTCATACGCTTGTCCAAATTATCTGGATCGGGCTTAGTGGGCTTGAGATGGGTAGTTCCGTTTAGTCTTTAGGCAGTTTATCTTCTCTGTTGGTGGTAGCGTAAGGCGCAAGTCGCACGAGGCATAACATTCTGCAAGTTTCTTTGATGCTGGGAACTGTGTTGGCGAACAAAGGTCAGTCAACTTCAGATGCGCGCTTTTAAAATATACTTCAGAAATTTCAGACAAAGGGCCTGTGTGACTTATTTTTTAGATTTAGGTGGGGTGTTGAAAAACTATCGGAGGATTTTTTTAGTTAGGAAACAGCGTCCTAGTTGTTGAGTTATTTTCATCTTGATGTGCTTCGTTGTTTTCTTTTATCGTAGAAGCCGATTCTTCGTGTTTACGAAGAGTGCACAATCACTCGGAGTATGTTCCCAGTACTGTTTATAGGATCATAGGTTAATGTGGACTTAAATAATACGTATCCGTTTTCTTTACCTTAACTGCGTGCACAGGACATGCATAGTTCCTGTAGAGACCAAACAAAAACAAAAAATCGTCCAAAAAGCCTTATTAACTCAAGCAGTATTAATATACACGACAAGGTTCAAAAACCGGGTTATTGCCAATTTTGTATGCGTGTTTTCCCCTTTTCTCCCTCTCTCTCTCTCTCTCTTTCTTTTTTTTTAACACTTTCGTCATTGGCGAGTGAATAAGCTAAAGCAACCTACTGACTGACAAAAACAGAACTATTCAAATGTCAGAAGAATCTTAGTTGAATTTTCCCCTGGTGTCATGTTACGTAGACTAGTTAAATTTCGTATTTAAAAGGTCTTCAAGTTAATTACTAGATAGTTATGGTGCAAAACTTTATGTGTGAAACGCTCAGACGAGTTAATGTTACGAATTATACTCTTCCTTTATATTTTTTTTTGTGCATTACTGTGAAAACATCACCGATTCGATCGCCTTATAAATATATAAGGATCGACATTATGTCTGTTTTGCATAAATAAATACGAAATTGCAGCGTAATTTACAATGAATCAATTTATATCAAGTGCTTTTAGATTTTAGGACAATTAAAAAAGTATTTTCCATAAAAGAAGCGGCCTCTATCAGCAAAGTAGTTCGGAACTGCCGTGATGATATTTCCATTTGTAACTTGTTTTGCTGAAAAAGAAAGAACTCTCTCGATAAAAACACCAGGTCAAACGTAATATATCAATTGAAGAATGCTTTTGAAATTTTGTCGTTGTCTCTTCTATTTGTGGGTTTCTGTTTGATTTATGCACTAATGTTTTTACTGATGATTTTCGAATTATGTTTTATTATGATATTCTCAGTGATAACTGTATTTCCGTTAGAGCTCATTTGTAACTTCTATTTATCACTTTGAGGGAAACAGTTTTATGCGATCTCATCTCAATATTCCCATGTGGAATGACACTATTCACCAATTTATTCACTTCAAACTTAACAACAGTTTTTTGTTTTTTTTTTTTACGGTAGTAATAACTCGAGAAAACTTAGCTCCCTCCTCGCTGCTGAGTAGAAGAATGATTTCCTTTGCTTTGAGTAACATTATTCCTCCAAGATTCAAGAGATAATAGGTTGAAAGTAAAGAAACCAAAAAAAACTTCAGGTCTTCCCTGTATTCTTTATGCTCCACACTTTGCTAAAAGGTCTGTAATTTATTTACACATGATTGTAATTGTAAGTTAGTATTTGTGGCACATATCGAAGAGTAATACAACTGCCTGTTTGACGAATCCGACTGGTTTTATCTCTGTGGGTTGATTTCACCACATCTGAATAATCGATGTAGTTTTCATTTTTACTTGAAGAAATTTATCTCTCTATGAATAACGGATTTGGGATTTTCGGATGGCATTCTCTTTACTCTGCCTAGCTTAGGATGAACTGTCGTCGCTCATTTCCATGCAAAATTTTGTTTCTTTCATCCAATAGAAGTAGAACGAACGTGAAAGTGCTACAAACTGAAACTTTCAGATTGGAAAGATTATTAAATTATTTCATGTTGTTTAGGCCAATTGATATGGGAATCTTGTAGTTCTAGCTTTTCGCAAAGGAATTAAGCATGTTGCGAAAGAAATTGAAATAAAACTCAAAGAAAAGCATCAGAGTTTTAACTTAAAACTTCTATAAACAATGGACCACCAGAAGCAGAAACGGCGTAAAAGTACTTTGTATACAAGCAGTGGGAGGGTGTTTAGGTTATCAGCTAGTCTTTTGTTAGTACTTTCTCTGAGCTGCCGATTTGTGTCGATGCTTGCCTGTATTTTCTTTGATATGTACCTGTGCTATTTTATCGAAATTGCGTGAAAAGACAAGGACGTAAGCGTTGAACAAGCATTCCGTTTCAATGAAGTAATAAAAAGGATAGCTTTGTATTTTTGACTGACATCATTATCTGTTAAGATGTACATTTGGTTGATAAACTGCTCACAGCCGGTAAGGCGCCTTGTGTACCTATAAGACTCATTACGAATATTTTTATTTATTTCTCTCGCTCTACGATTCTCTCCTGAAAAGTTAAAAAAAGAAAAAAAAAAGCGTCGCGAACGCCAAGGAAACCCAATATGCCGCAATCACGGTTTACGCGATTTCCTTTGACGGAAGAATTGTAACGAGACGCATTTGAACAGGACTGAAAAGCGGTTTAATGCGATCTCCGCTTCATTTAATTTAAAGCAATACTTCTTGAAAGTAAATTCGGTAGTTAAAGGTGTAATAAACAAAACCCGCCATTCTCACACCTTTGCACAATTAGTGGTGGTCGTTAATGGCCTCTATTGAGCGAGTAAATGCTCATTCTAGGTTGTTGTCTGTTCAGTTGTTCCATTTAGAAAAGGGGCTTTGTCTAGCTGGCACTTAGTGCGAGCTTTTGTTTTTGTTTGGTTGTTCTATACTTGCATGAGAGTCTTTTTTTAGTGAGTACACAAATTGGAGGTTTGGTAGAGGCTGTCCTCTTGTTATATTTTAGCTTTCTCATCAAGATTAATCACAGTATTTTACTGGTGGTTCTTTTCACATTTCGCCTTTTTGAAATGAACCGCATGGAAATTTAGCTGTAATTCCTCATTTAGTTTTTTCTACCGCAGGCTGTCAATGATGACATTAGTATGTTCCGTTTTAATACCACGTGCCTCTCTACCATCCGGAGAAAGAGTGAGTTACAGCACAAAAGCATAAAAGCATAATGTAATCATCTCCTCGCTTTCAATTTGTTTTGTGTTTGAGAAGGAAAAAATGAAGTACGATATTTCAATAGCAGTAAATGACGAGGATTGCAACCGGCTGTTAGCTTTACATTACTGTTAAGATCAGAGATAAACATACATTTTTTTCGGCTTAAAGAGGTGTATTAAACTTGTGCAACCAAATTGAATTATAAGTTTCTTTCATCCTCTTAAGTGGGTCGCACGCTGTAGTTATTGAGATGAAGTATAAGATGAGTAGTTGGACGCCATGAAATAATCTTATAACGCCAAGAGCGCTCAGGTTATGCCACCGCCTAGTACTTTCACTGATAACCCGACATATTTTTTTTAAGCTAAAATGTTTTTGTTTGCTCGAAATGTTTTCTTTTATGTTTTTACTCCTTGACAGTACATTATCTCTTGGGAGCTGAAACCGGAGAAGCCATTTTATTTTGTGGCTTTAGACGAATTTAGTTTGTTATGACAGAGGGAACTGATCGAGGATCAGGATCTGTCGCGTGCGAAAATGAAGGGTCTCAAATCCCCCGCATCTTGGGAGCAAAGTAAGCTTACAATAAACTCAAGTGATGGTCTATGAAAGTTAAGCCTTCCAGTCGCCTACCATTTGATGAAAACGATTACAAAAGTAAAGCCTGTTATTACTGGGAATTGATTTTCTCATATTAAACACACATCTCTAAATAGAACACTCCACACAAAGCGATGCGATGATAATATAAATGGCCATTAACACCTTCAAACGATGTGCCATTCTTAGTGCGACTTTAGCAAACAGGAAACCATGGCATCCGAGAAAAGAAATGCTAACATTGAAGAAACTAAAACGGGCTTTAGCTATTCATGAAAATTTAACTTCCATTAAAGTTTATTCAAGTACCTAGACCAACGCATTTAGACTCGTATGTTGGTAATGGATTTAACAGATGGCTTTGTCTTCGGTTTCACACTTCCGTCGGCCATCTAACTGCCCTGAAGTGTCTCTTTAAATTTCCTCAAGCTTTTTGCTTGAGTTTGGAAGTGAAGGGAATCCTATCCGTGAGAATGACATGTTAAACGAGATCCATTAAGCGTGGCATAAACGAATCATCTTGTCGTTCAAATGGTGTCGTGGGAGGGGCACCTAAATGAGTATTAAAGAAGTGTTTTACAATCACATTAAGCCCCAGAATAAAAGCCCTTGTAATGAGCACTAATGAGTATCTTTGTAGTTGATGAACGATGCACTGTAATCAAATTCAGTCGACTGTAATTGTATTTCGGGTGTCGCTGTGATACTTATCTATCGCTCTATCTCACTCTCGGTAAATGACTCAATCGAAAAAATGCAATGATTTCGACCGTTAAATTCTTGCGCACCATCGAGAGTTAACAAAGCGCTCTCGGATGTGAAACTCCAGGCATCAATTAAAGCTGAAGTAATTCAAAAGAGATGTGGACAAACATGTCACCCGGGCCTTTTTATACTTTCTATTTGTGCTGCATAAAATTGCGGCTCTCTCCCGAATTACTTGTGACTGTATTTCAGCTCGTCGCGACTTAACATTTCTACGCGTAGGAATCAATGAAATAAAAATCGGCTGACTCTTCTTTCAAGGATGTGTATTTGTTTATCACTGGCGACCATGTCTTTCTTATGCGCTCTCCGACCTAATTCGGTGAATTTTTTCGCTATTTGTGATGTTAAAAAAGTTTGGGAAAATATTACTTAAATGGTTTTTAGCTACAGTGATACTATAGAAATCAAAGTAGCGTACTTTGGTACGCGGTTGAGTTTAGTGCTATTGTCGGTACAAAATTGAAATATAGTTCATGTCCCTATTCCCTTTCGATATCTACCAATAACCGTTGCTTCAACTTAAGGCCTATAATTGTTTCTTTTGGGAATTTTTTTCAGTCCCCCACTCAATCTGAACACTATCATACACTCTCGTTAATCTTAATCTTGGATTAAAGGTAATTAAGAGCCTAACACTCGCGCAATCTAATTTCGATGATGTGAGTAAACTTTGAGAGAGTAGACCACTCCATGTAATTCACCGGACGCAAGTGATTTACTTCCGTAGCTAGGAGTTAAAACGTTATCCTCCGCTAATCTTTTTACCTTTTTGCCGCTATTTGGTGTTAAAGCAGAATTGTTTCGGGATTGAGCCATCGAGGACGGCAGCGATTAAATTGTTTGAATGGTACTCTTTGAGTGTCACTGTCTTCGTGTTCGCAGGGTTTGAATTGAAGGGTCTGTTTGTTGTTGCATTTGGGACGTGATTTAGTAATCTTGAATTCATCTGTAGTAAAAACCACAAGGGGGAGCGAAGGTTTGACTGCCAAATGGCGCCATTGATAGACCCGATAATCCTATGTCTTCATACTGTTTGTGATCATCCCGAACCAAAACTCGTACCGCGACTTTCTTCGCCGCACTCGGAGGGCAAATTTCTGATGCGAGCTGACGTCGTTTTGTTTTGTATCTCCTGTTCTGAAACCAGATTTTAACCTGTGTCTCAGTCAGTTTTAAAGCAGCAGCAAGCTCTGCTCTCTCAGGTCCAGACAAATATTTTTGATGGCTGAACCGTCTTTCTAACTCGAATACTTGAGCGTGAGAGAAGGCCGCTCTTGATCGCTTCTTTCGCGGTTTGGCCTGTTGTTGAGGGTTGGAAGTCGAGGTGTGGTTGACATCTCTTTCGTGGTTTTCTGTAATGAAGAAACAAAAAGCTGTAAATCAGAACATGTGCAATTGCTTAATTGAGAATAGTCTAATTGACACAAATTAACTCGGTCTGTAAAAGTGAATTTTAAATTGTGAACGGTAACTGTGTGACTTACTGTGAACTTTCGCTATTTCTTCTGCTCGCTCTGCGATTTCTTCAGGTTTTCGTTCTCTACTAAGTGAGGGCAATGCTGTAGGAACTTGCGAGGCAGTGAATGTTTTGTAGCAGCTCAGCTGATGGATGGGTAAAGCGCTTTGAAAGTACGGTAATGGCAAATATGTCGGCGACACGGGATGAGTGTGGGCAGGGTGCTGACTCCAAGAAGGAAGGCTGCTGTTATTCTGCTGTGGGACATCATTACGATTCAAAATATCGGTGATCGAGAACGGAGTAACAGGATTTCTGATTGCTTCGTTCATATTCCTTAGTTTAAAATTGGACACGCAACAACGTTGAGAATAGATGATTGCGATGTTGGCGTTCAGGACTCACGCTGATGACCGAAACAGAAATAGGATACCACCCGTAGATGTGAACCCTAAAAACAGTACTTGGAGACCTACAGGAATTTTTCACAATATCATTATTCAGCGATAAGAAATCAAAATTGAACATTAATCGACGATTGGTCGATGTCCACGTATCACCTAGAGGCTGTTGATGAGAAAATCAAGCTAATCAGGCATTCTTATTGGCTACTTGCTTCATTTACGTAGTTTGTTGACATTCTGTTAAAGAGCGTTGACACAATGCAATTAAGAACACACGGCCTCTCAATTACGCAAGGATCGGGGTCTTCCGAGCGAAGGAAGCATCAAGATGTGATAGAATCATGAAGAGTGGGTGCAAATTACAGCGAGCTTTTCAAAACATTCCTTGTTTACAGAGATAACAGGGTGGAAGTCCGAGGAGGTTAATCTATTTTGGTGTTCGTTTCACGAGATGTGATTAAAAAAATTGTACAACCGTTCAGGGCAATAGTGTGGGTATTTTTCTCTTAAGTGAACGTCTGAATTCTCACTTTTATCCAACATTATAACCTGTTAAAGCTCGAAAAGTGACCAAAGGCAAAGAGCACATGACTGACAGCTTGCTTGGGTAAGGTCTAGATGGGTGGCACTGACAGTTTTGTTTTGTGAGTCTGCTTGTGGAGGGCTATTTAGTCGATAATGACTTCTCACCTCATGCCAATCATTGTGCCGATTCTGCATACGTGTTAATTCGTTTATTATTTTACTATTGTCAGGTAATGTCGCTTAATGATTGCAGTGATTGACGGCCGAACAATAGGGAACGCGCCATCTGCTGCGAATCCTTTGTTGACAACGTTTACATGCACTTTAAGACATTTCCATACAAAGGCTCGCCAGAGCAGATTTTTATTCCGATCTCGTTTTACCTCTCAACGGAAACTTAAAGTGAAGGAAGTGCTTTCAAAAGAACACAGGCAATTGAAATGACAATATTTAGGCATTTAAAAGGTTTTTTACTTGAGTGTGGATTGCTTTCAAGGATGTGAAATCGACATCATTAACGCGAAGCTCATGACAGCCATCAACTTCTGTTAACTAATGCGATTACTGTGGTCCACGGAGTTCATATTGAGTTTTTAGCCTAATGTCTTTTTTTGACCTGTTTGTTCACACTTGGGAAATTTTCGGAGAAATTAAAAACCGGTTCATTCACTTCAATGACAAAAACTTTTTTCTTTTGTCTCGAGTTAATTTTTTCTCACCGTATATTGTCAGTTTATGTTGACAATCTTTTTTTGCCACAAAGTTGTTCCCCGACAATTCATCTGGTGTTACATTACTTTCCCTTCTTCTTTGTGATATTTAAACAGGATCGATTGCGGAACCAAAATTAACTAGATTTCTATGAGGGAAATGTGAAAATTAATCACAAAATTTACATTTTTGTTGTAAATAAATAGCCCGTTATTTCTTTTTACTGCAACTAGTTAGAATTGACTTAATTACCGGCTGGTATGTTTTTGAAATGTGTGTTTTAACTAATGGAATATTGCTTGTTATAATTTCGGCTTTCTTTTGGAATATCCTCCTTTAGTTGCTGGCATACTTGACAAATAAAAATTTTACATGAAGGAGAGCAATCCATTTAACCCATGCAAAATTAAAAGACGTCCAAGAGCCCGTAACAGTGGTCCTTTCGGTTTAAAATTTTATTCGTTTAAAAAGAACTAGTTGAAATAAACCAAAAATAAAAATATTTGCGTCAATAGTACGAAAGGATGACCCGTTTTTTTTTTGTAACAGCTGACATAAGCCAGCAGATTTAAAAACACTGGCTTCATCTTCATATTTGAGACACGGAACATATATATCTTAATGGACATAATATAATAGCCTTGTGTTTTGAATCTCTTGTTGGTCTTGGCTTCTTTTCACAATGTGTGTACCATAAATCGCCAATTAACTTCTAGTGAATGTAATTACTTTAAAAGCTATCTTTATACTCGCGGTGTTCCTGTTCAAAGCAACTTCTGTCTGCTTTTATCGTTAATTATTCTTGTATCTCGAGGTGAACATTAAAACCATGCACGCACGAGTTACGCTGTGACAAGTTCTCAGTTACTTGATTGCTTATCTTGGACTCATCATCAAGATATCGCCAAAATTCACACATAGGTTTTGACAGCCTAATTCCAAAGCTGGTCCTCACTTATGAAAAATAGATATGAGAAGGCACGAAGTTAGAACTGCTATCTTTCAAAAAAAAAAGGAAAAGAAGAAGAAAATATCTTGTTGATAGTTACTTTTCTGTGGTATTTTAAGTTTTCTTGAATTAATTCTTTCTTAAACGAATGTTCAATATTGTGAAATGATGTCAACTTCAGATCTATATTATGTTCGTGTTCATCCGATATTAAATTTGCCAGTGTCGCACGTGTATTTTGCTTATGACGCCCAACATATCTTAATTCGTCTATTTTTCCTATTTATAAATTTATGCTTTGACTTCGTCTGTGGGAAATATATCTCTGTTGAAATATTACACCCTCTTTCCGTGTGAAATTTATCAGTGCAAGGTGGCAAACTTAGCGCCTCACACAACAGGCTTACATAAACGAAATTTACAAAATGTGTACATGGAGCGATTGGATGTATGCTTTTGGTACAGTGTTTAACTCTTACTTATCAATAATTATTAACATTTCTTACCTTTTCTTAATTTACACGATAAAGGTAGCCGGCATTTTTTCTTAAAAATATCGTCTAAATATTATTGTTTTCTTTGCTTTCTAGAATATTTTCTGGCTAATGTAACTCGTATCTTTCTTCTACTTTCACCAGAAAATTTTAAATATCTCGCGTCTCTGTTTAGTGTCATTGATAAGAGTTGTTCATTCTTGTCCTGCTTTGCAATGTCATAGGAAATGCTTGTTTCTTAGATTATCGCGAAGTTAGACTTTACAGTTACCATGTTCTGTTTGCTAAATGGTTGTTCTGCGGTGGTGGGTACATGTTCATGTAATGCGGGGCGAAGTTCATGTTCATA